TATCGATGATTCTTAGAGATTTGGACCTATGCGAAATAATGTCTGTGGTGGCTTGTAGCGCGCACGAAGTTTCGCCTCCAAGGGGGAATTGATCACAAACTGACCACGTATTCTGTAACAAATAAATCTTAAGCTGATATTAAGAATGTGATCACGGAATACATTTTATAAACGTTGGTAACAACTGCTAAAAACGATAGTCGATTAGCGGCCGAGAAACTGCGCGCTAGTCAATGCTAGCTTTATTAGCTTTGTAACTGATCCCGCCACATTGTGTCCAGCTACAGTAATGATCGCAAGTTTTAGATTAGTCTTTAAAAAATAGTCTAACCTCTCAAGTAAAAGTTAACTGGGCTTAAACCGCCAGTGCACATTCACTTTGGTCGTAGATTCCAGTGAATTTACTATCACTGATATGTTTTTGTCAAAACTACACATATCCTGACCTTATGAATTCTCTTGACCAAAAGTGTGAAAATTAACAAGCCGACATACTGATCGTGGGAAGCTAATAGTCCTGGGACTTCTTTATAGCCCTTACAAAACTTTGAGTTACACTGTAAATGAACTTCTGTTCTCTGGCGCTTCACTGGTTTGGTAGCATCCTGTTTCCAGACCACCAGAAAGGAGTTGTGACAACTGACAAGGCGCGCAAGACAGCAAACAGCCTTTCTTAGATGTTAGGATTAAAAAAAAAGGTCGCAGTGGCCCAATACCCTGTGAATGTTGTATTTTGTTTTGAAAAGTGAAATGTTTCACTCGATACTGATTTCTCCAGTCCGTCTTTTGTTGTCCTTTGACATGATCTGGTGTGATTTGACCTCGATCTTTCGTCTTTTGGTGGAAAAATCAAAGAGAGAAATTAAGGCAATTAATTGAGACGAGAATCTGTTTCATGGAAAAGCCGCAAGCCGCTCGAATGATAGAACTGTTTGAATTGGCCGCAGTTTCAAGCTGTTGCTCAAAGATAGGTTTAACTTTAGAGCATAAACAGCGATCAGTATCTAGCTTCTGACCAAAGTTTTTCCAGAGATCTTACGAGGTGTGAAAAGGCCGAAACAATCAAACACAGATTTGCTTTGTTCGTTTGTTGCACAGCTTAACACCGAAACAAGTTTAAAATTGCTTGCAATTGTAAAGCATAAGTTGTTAAAATTTAAGTTTGACGGACGATGGTCCAAAATACGATATGCGTATTTAGTTTGCACTATGATCATAGCTAGCTGTGGAATATACGTTGATTCTCTTGCACGGCTGTTTCAGTATGTCATCATCAAAGTCGGCAAGCCATGTTGTAGTTGCTTGGAAAAAGAAAGGAGAGGAGGCTTTTGAAAATGAATTGGAGGAGGCGATTTCAGTGAAGAAGTTGATTTTCAAAGGATCGGCCCAAGTTGGAACTGAAGTCTCTATGCAGTACAAGAATGACCTTTGGACGGGGAAAATTTTATCTGTTCATGGTAAGTTTAGTATAATCTCCTACGATCGCAAAAACTCAAATACTCGGAAACCGGTTACTCGGCACAATTCTTACTATGACTGGTAGGTTTTGATACTTTGAAATACCAGTTGTTAATAACAAGGTAGAATGGCCAGCGAAAGTTTTTACCCAAGGTTCGTCATGCCGCTGAGTGTCTTCCGCTTTACCGATCGACTCGACTGGGCAACCACCTTTTTCAGATTGAACTTTCTATTTAATCTATCTCCAAATAGCATTGTTCCCTTTCCTTGTTGGTCTTCTTACGCTGTATTAATTTTTACAGTGATTTCATCCAAAGCGTTCAAGCGTCTACCAGTTTGCTGAACGTAAAATTTCATCATGCATATACTTCATGTATTGTGCACGGAAAGTATGCTGCCCATTGTGAAGGCTTCTTTTTGTATTGTTCTTATAAAAAGGTAGTAAGGGTGAAGCAGATAAAAACTGCAAGAGCATAACCCCTGATCAATCAGTCAGTGCCAAAAAGCAGAGCACTGGATGTGCTAAAAGGAAGAGGAAAACCAATAAGAAGTTGTTTGCTGATTATGACATTTCAACAACTGATCAGCCAGAGGATTCAAGTGATTCAGCGGGTGAGAATTAAATTTTGACCTTTTACTGTAATTGCGAGGCATTGTGGCAATTTACTCATATGGCCATTACTCATATGGCCAAAATGATAAGATACAGTATTATGACCCGTTCAAGAAAAGTGCCTGGAACCCTTTGTGCATTAAAGCAACAATTGATCAGTTTTAACCAGAAATGGCTATGTCAATGGTTTAAACAAGCCACTTTAAACCTGTTACAAACTTAAAAGCCACACTACATAATTTTTTCCAGTTTTAATAAGAATGACTGACATTTATTTTGTTTCACTCATCAAAGCAATAATTTTCTCTTGATCGAGAACAGAACATGCACCAGCTGAGAACACTAATTCACAAAGTAGAAAGCAAAAGGGCAAAAAGAGGAAATCAGGGAAACAAGGTTTGTGTTCATGCTTTATTCTTTGTGCGGTACTTAATGTAATTTTAGTGTTTTAAATCCTAACTAACCCTTCAATGTCACTTTTTCCGCCAAGAAAACCACACCTGCGAAGAAGCGTAAAACTACAGAAGAGAAGAAGGAAGAGCTGTCACTTCTTTGTCGGAAGCTGAATGACATTGAGGAGTCCATTCTAGTAGCAACACCAGGCAGCAGATCTGAAAGAGTGAACGTGGATGGCTCATCCGAGTCTGATTGGTCAGACGATGACAGTGAAAACTCCTTAATGGTTATTCCTACCCCACAACAGGGAAACCAATTACAGCATCCCCACTTTGGAGGGAAAAGACCAAAGACAGTACACCCACCTCTAAAATGTATAAATGTTTGGTGCAAAGAAGAAAAACAGAAGAAAGATGATGAAATACTCCAGCTTAAAGAAGAGGTGCTTATGTTGAAAGAGGAGCTCTGTAAGTAATAAATAGGCAGCATGCAGTGTTAATACACTGTGTAAGCAATAAAATGTGACCTTTCACGCAAAAACGTGCTATAACGACTTTCCTTTTTCGAACGGAATTCCGTTTAGAAGCCGTTTGAAAGAAATTTGCATTCGTTCGAACGACCTGGGTCATCCATTCAAAAAAATTTGCATCCGTTCGAACGGCTTGCTCACCCGTTTGGTAGAAATGTCCAGCTGTTCGAACGACTTGCTCACCCGTTCGATAAAAACGTCCAGCCGTTCGAACGACTTGCCCACCTGTTTGTTAAAAACATCCAACCATTCGAACGACTTGCTCACCTGTTCGATAAAAACGTCCAACCGTTCGAACGACTTGCTCACCCGTTCGCTGGAACATCCATCTGTTCAAACAACTTCAGTAAAACGTTGAACGGCTTTGATCATCCATTCAGGAATAAAAATATCTAGGCATACGAGCGGTTGTCTTAACCTGTTCGGGTACTCGCGTGTTCATGTCACCTGAGGAAAAAAGCCCTTCGATCACTTGAACAGTCTGCTAGCAGATTACGCGACAATCACAAAATATCTCCAAATAATGAAGCTCATGAAGAAACNTAGGCTACCCGTTCGCAGTTTTTCCTGAGCCGTTCGAACGGTTAGGCTACCCGTTCGCAATTTTTCCTGAGCCGTTCGAACGGTTAGGCTACCCGTTCACAATTTTTTCTGAGCCGTTCGAACGGTTAGGCTACCCGTTCGGAATACTTAATCACCCATTTGAACACTCATTGAAACCCGTTTCAAACGGCTTGGTGACCCGTTTGTAACCCGTTCAATGGCCGTTCGTTTCACCCGTGTAACGGAAAGTCGTTAATGCACATTTTCGCGTGAAAGGTCACAAATTGTAAGTTGCCATTTGCTTTATATGTTTCAAACAGTCAGTCAATTGATATACATTACCAAACACAAATTATGGGGATTATGGATTTGCACGCTTATTTCTTTAAGAACAATTTAATCAAAGAATCAAATCATAAGTTCATTCAGTAAAAACATTTGTTTCTCTGTATATTTTGGGACTGATATCAGTAAAAAACACCATTGTTTTGTTTTATGTAAACTTATTGACTCAATATTTAAATCCATCATGCTAACACTTGTCTAATAATTAATTTTACAGGTAAATCAAAAGAAAGTACAGGAATTAATGCCCAGAGAAAAATTACAAAGGAAAAAGGAACAGCCGATGGAGTATGGATAAGATGTTTTGTTTTAAAATTGCACATAGTTAACTGTACACTATAATTACATGCATGTACCTCTCTACAGGCAGGAATCAAGAGGTAGGAATTGACATAGTTCAACCTGCTTTCAGCCTTTTTTTGTTACTGCAACCAGTGGACTCCTCCCATTTTTTCCAAAAAAAATGTACTTTGCTATTTACATTTACATGTAACTTGTGATAACAACTTCATTGAAACAGAGATAAAAAAAGTAATTTTGAAAACATTTTTTTCATTAGCTTACAGAACTTGTCAGTGGATCAGGCATCTGGATGTGCCCTAACAAATTGGGTGCAGCCATTAAAGATGCTGAAAATAAATCCAGGACAGTGTTGGTGAGGTCACTGCTGTGTGGTTTTTATA